CCATCGTACTGCCTCAGACAGACCAGTACGAACGACCGTTATGGTACGACCCTATGTACGGTCGTTTGTACAACCGTATGAGCGGTCCCCCGTTCCTCCCCCCTTGCCCTCCCTGCCCCCCCTGCCCCGTCGTACTGCCTCAGACGGGCCAATATAAACGGCTGTACAACCGTATGTACGGCCGTATGAGTGCTCCCCGCTACGTTGTACAGTCGGAGTCACAAATTTTGCACACTAGAAAAGAGAGAGAGAGAGAGTTCCGCCCTGTTCCCTCAGCTCTTACCGCATGCCGGGACTCTCTCTCTCTCTCTCTCTCTCTCTCTCTCTCTCTCTCTCTGTGTGTGTGTGTGTGTGTGTGTGTGTGTGTGTGCAGCGGGCCTCTATCTGCCCTGGCCTACAGCTAGGGCCTATTCGGCTATTTGCCAGTTTGGCCTGTGGGACCAGGCCGTGGCCTGACCCCACAGGCCGTGTACTGTTTCAGTCCAGCCGAGTCCTGCCCGGTACCTTTGTCAGCACCAGGCCAGTCCAGTCCAATGCAGTCAGTCCGCTGGGGGTATAGCCCAGCTGCAGTCTGTATTTCGTCATTCTTCACTTTTGCACATCTTGGAGTACGTGTGTGTTGAGTTTGCGTCGGAGCTGCACTGTCCCTTCCAGCTCTGTCTCTACCTCCTCCTTCGTCAACCCTTCTTCTTCATCCTGACGGACCGCCATCCCGGCGGGTCCGGCACACTGGTATCAAAGCGGGAACGGTCCCCGCTCCAACCCGCTCGCCCACCCTCCCGTAACAGGGAGAAATCGGTGTAATCCCGATAGCGGGATTTTCAGGGTTTCGTTCGGCGAGAACAACGAAATAACGGTGAAAAAACGGCAGCGTGCAAAGGCGGACATGTGGCGAAAAAGGGAGCTGCCGCCGTCACGACGCGTGTGCGCAAGCGCCAAGGCCAAGGCCGCCGTACGCGCGCGGGCCATGCGCCCACGCTGGCCCGCTGCCCCGCCCCGCCCCGCTCTCAGATTATTATTATCAAGATTCGGGATGCTGGAGCTGCCAGGGCTTGAACCTGGGCAGCTGCTGGTCATGCGAGTGCGTTAACACACTGGCCAAAGCCACAGTACAAGTTGATACTGTGGCTTGCTGCTGTTGAAGAGGTGGCACAACAATTATTTGCGCAGTACGAGTTTATACTGTGGCTTTTCTGTATCCTTATCTCCCATTCTACCACCCTCCTCTCTCTCTTCCCCCCCTTAACTACAACACCATCATTTCCCACATCTCCCCCTCCGCTCTTTTTCTCTTTCTCACATATTTCTCTCTTTTCTTTTTACTTTTTCATTCCCCCTCCCCACCAACTTTGAAAATTTTATGTTTTTTTTTTTTTATCTTTCTTTTGATTTATCTTTCTTCCTTTTTCCAAAATTTTGAATTATCTTATTCCCGACCTTCTTTTCTTATTTTCTGATTTACTTCATTTTATTTTTTTATTTATTCTGAAAATTTGAATTTCTTTACGTCACCCTCAAATCTGATTACGAGTTAGTCATTCTTGCTTTCGGCACACATTTTGACCTTGAGGGGGTAACGAAGTGCTGCCAAAATTTTCTGCTTTTTTTCTTTTACTTAGTCTTCTCAACACATTTTGACCCTTTGGCGGTAGCGAAGTGCTGGCAAAATTTTCTAATAGTGTACAACTGTGACTTGTTTAACTTTTTTTTTTTTTTTTTTTT